TGCAGGGCACAATTCCAGGACCCAGGATTCTGACAGGAGCTGAAGGCAGACGCTTAATGACTGAGCCAGGTAGGCGCCCCTAAAATCTTCTCTTATCTGGTGATCCCATTGCTATCTAAAAATTACAGATATCACTCCCTTTTCTGAACTTCCATAATTCTTTGCTCATAACTTTCTCAAGATATTTTTTCCTGGAAAAAAAACATGAACTGATTCCTTTAAAATTCTCATTCTCCTTAATATATTGCACTTATCTGATGTTCAGTAAATGGATAGTCAAAGAATAAATGAAAAAATAAAGCAACATCCCTCTTCCAGAAGAAATAAAAGGCATTACACCTAGATTCATGGTTGTTTAAAATGACATCCTGAATTCTTAGGATTAGTAATGCCAATATTGCCTAAAAGACTAAGATAATATTATTAAATATATCATAATTGAAAAAAACATTTTTCGGACCTAATAAATGATGCATAACCATTCTTACTCCACTGTCAGGATTCTTAGACATTAAGATGTTTCCTCCTCCTTTGCAGTCTTCCAGCATTGCATATGCACTTAGTTCTCTTCTGTTAGAACACAAATTGTAAGAACTTATCAATGGAATATTACTTAGCCACAGAAAAGAAGGGGATCTGTGATCTGTGACAACATAGATAAACCTGGAGGACGTTATGCTAAGTGAAATAAACTAGACACATGAAAGACAAATATTACATGACCCCACTCACATGTGAAATCTAAAAAAGTTGAACTCACATAAGCTGAGTAGAACAGTGGTTGCCAGGGACTGGAGGGTGGAGGAAATGGGGAGATGTTGGTCAAAGGGCACAAACTTTCAGTTATAAGATGAATAAGTTCTGGGGATCTAATGTACAATATGGCAAGTATAGTCAATAGTACATTTTATATTTGAAGTCTGCTAAGAGAATAGATCTTTAGTCAACACACACACAAAAGTAACTACGGGAGGTGATGGATGGCTATTAGCTCAATTGTAGTAATCATTTTATAATATGTATATGTATCAAGGTATCACATTATATATCTTAAATATATACAAATTTTGTCAATTATACTTCAATAAAACTTGAAAAAAGTCAAATTTAAGGTAAAGTTCATCTATCACAAATCAAACGACCTTCTTTTTGAGACATTGCATTTTTAAAGACATGGGGAAAAAAAGTGTAACCACCAGTTGACCCATGAGCTGGATTCAGAGCCTCAGCAGCCCCTCACCCCACCTCTGTCCCTCTGTCCTTGGAATATGGGTTACACTTGCCTTTCCCATTCCCAGAGACTATTCCAAGGATGTTGTCATGAGAAAGGGATGTAAGTGTTGAAAACACCAACAGGATAAATGTGACTAAATCCTGTTAAGGCCACTTCATAAATTTTAAGATTTGGGAGGTGGATGCAGGGATACATTTATCTTGCTGCTGTCCAAAACAAGCCTCCTATATAATTTTCCACTGCTTAGGAAAGCTGCTATCTACCAACCTTGAGTAGCCTGCCTCTTTCTTCCATCTCTCCCTGCTCTCCTCATGTTTCAGATATGGGGGAAGTTCCTGAGAAGTTTGTGAACCAACAACATCTCAAAGACAGTCATCTCTACTACCTTGTTCATCATGGCAGACCAGTGCTGATATAGCACCAAGAGTAAAAGTCACCGCTCTATAAACACCTGTCAAATTAGGTGTGAGGCTTAGGAATTATTTTCTGACAAAAATTTCTTACAAACTGATCTATTATCAGTTAAACTTATTTCAAGGGATCCAATCAATCTTGCAGGACACTGTTACTTCCTACTTAGGACTTAGGGAAGCAGGAACTGGCAGGTGGGTTAGACTAGAGGTGATGGCTGGAGCTGTTGGAGAAGCTTTTCATCCTCGTTTGTTATTCATTTGCATCCTTCTCAGTGTCTAGATGGTACCCCGGTTCAGAAGCTCTTTATTTCTGCTCTCTCACATGGTACTGTGGTTTCCCCTCTAGAGTCCATGGCTTTGGCCACCTCTGCTCAGCATCACTTTTTCACATGGGACTGAGCAAGATGGTGACTTGGGCCCCAGTATCCAAAAGGGCCATAAAGAGTTCAGTCTCTCCCCACCTTTGGTGTTCTTCAGTTCTGTGAAGAACTGAAGGGTCTTCGGTTCTGTGAGGGACAAGGAGATTTTGTCTCCACCTCTAATTCTTGGAGCAGCTGAGGTCAGTGCAGAGAGGAAGCAGAGGATTAGTGGGATGGAGGGAATAGGTCTCCAAACCAGCAAGATGTCATATTTACCTTCAACGTGGAGCGAAGTATCACACTTATGGTTTTCAGCCTGTTTAAAGCTCTCCATTTAGCTTTTTCAACTACTTAATCTGTTTCCCTATCTGGAAAGAAAGTATAACCCCAAACCAACAAAAACAAAAACAAAAACAAACAATGCCTCCATAGACTTATGACTTTAGCCCATACAAATCCCTATACCCACTCTAGGGACTCCCTTGTCTGTTTTCCAGCCTGAGGAGGAGCGCAGACAATAAACTTCTAGTGATTTCTTTCTGCATAAAATCAACACTAATTTCAGTATCTATAAATGTTTTCTTTCCCCACTTGGAAAGAAAAACCAAAACTCTCACTTAGGCTACTTGTTTTAACCACCTTCAACCACTTTCTTCCATTAAGGGGAAAAAAGTAGAGTTTCAGATATTGCCCAGTTGACCATGTGGTTTGGTTAATATGTCCATGTGCCCATCAGCGCTATGTCCCTTACAGAATCTCTTCCTTATATTCAAGAATTATTTCATATGTATATTTGTGTATTTTGTTATTTCATGTATATACAATTTTTGACAGGAAACAAGGTGCCTCTGGATCAGAAAACAGACATTCATAACTCATAGAACATCTTGGTGCCAGCTCCTCATGCCCTAATTTTCACACGGTGTTGCAACAAGGACCAGGTGTTTACCTTGGTGTGCAGTGAGGTTGCACCACAGGAAACAATGCTGAGATTATAAGACTTGGAACTGACATAGAGATTATAAGACTTGGAACTGACTGGCGTATCAGCCTGTCATTCTCTATGCTAATAATGGATGCAACAGGGAGAAAGAGAAGCCCCACCTTCACGTTGAAAGGAAGGGCAGCGGCTGAGTTAAAAGAAGGTAAAATTCTTCTATTACATATTCAAATTCCTTACATTCACTAAAGATTAAATTAATTTTCTTAACAGTAATCCTTTGTTCAACTTCTCAAAGACAAGCATCTCTCCTACTTTGTTTATCATGGCCGACCATTGGTGATGGGAGCACCAAGAGAAAGGACACTGCTCAATAAATATCCACTGAATGAAGTCTGAGGCTTGGGATTATTTATTTGATAAAGAATTCCCTGGAAACTCACTGTGATTGTAGTAAAAACACAGCACCTGCATATAGAGAAGGGCTGGGTCTGCATAAGTCCATGGCCTGCATATTCCCAATGATGGCTCATGATCAGGTTATAGTACAGCGGTTCTGAACTGATGTCTGTGCATCACTCCTGAATCCTCTTAGCCTCTCTGCTGACTATAGCTACTGCTGCTAGGATAGTTCCACACCAGGTTCTGACCTGCTTCACGCATGCACTGTGCAGCTTAACTGCAGTATCTACTTTTATTTTGTATCTACTGCCCTGGGCTTGTGTACCACTATTGCTGCCTGAGACACTTGCAAGAATCCACTTACCTCACAGGTCTGTGTAACCAGAATTACGGGAGCGTTTCTACTTGTGAGTCACCTTTGACCAGGGAATGATAAGAATAAATGCTTCGCTGGGGTGCCCGGTGGCTCAGTTGGCTAAGCATCTGACTTTGACTTGGGTCATGATCTCAGGGTCCTGGAATCCAGCCCTGCCTCGGGCTCTGCAGTTGGCAAGGAGTCTGGTTGTCCCCAACCTGCTGCTCCTCCCTTCTCTTGTGCTCTCTCTCTGTCTCTCTCTCAAATGAATAAAAATCCTTTAAAAAAAAAAAAAGAGAAAGAAAAGAAAAGAAAAGAGAATAAAAGCTTCTCAATTCCATCCTCAAGGCCAGTGTTCCTCATTAGTTTCTAGAAAACATTAAGCACCTCATACCCTTAGTGAAGACTAAGTGATAGTCTCTCCTTGTATTTACTTTTCCTCCTTTCTGTTTTTTTTTTTTTTCCCTCCCTCTTGTACTTTTGCTCTATAGCTACAAACCAATGGCCCACACATAAATCTTTGGCTCAGATTCTGCTAACATGGAATTTGGGTTGACATCCCTGACATACAAGTATGGACTTACACATGGACTAAAATTTCAAGGAGAGCTGATAAAGTCCCAAATATCACTAAAAAGTCTTAAAAATTCTATCAAAAACTGTTTAGTTAACCAGTGGCTGAAATCTCACTAATTAGAGATTAAATTGGATAAAAACCGCTGTCCTTTAAAATTCAAGTAACTCTGGGAAGGACATACAACTTATTATTATGATTAATATGAAAAACAGACAAAAAGATAGAAACAAAAATAAGTCTTACTAAAAAATTTCTGCTAGGGGCACCTGGGTAGCTCAGTGGGTTAAAGCCTCTGCCTTCAGCTCAGGTCATGATCCCCAGGGTCCTGGGATCAAGCCCCACATTCAGGCTCTCTGCTCAGCAGGGAGCCTGCTTCCCCCTCTCTCTCTGCCTGCCTCTCTGCCTACTTGTGATCTCTCTTGGTCAAATAAATAAATAAAGTTTTTTAAAAAAATTTCAAATCTTCTTTAAAAAAAATTTCTGCTAAAAATTACTAAAAATCTAGAGACTGATGCATAATCAACAATTTTTACTTGGGAGATGATTAACAAGGGAGGTATCCTAATCTGTTTGGTAAGGCATTTGTTTACCTCCATCTTCTTACTGCCATGGAAGGGAATTCTAAGTGTTGATGAATCAAGGTGCGGAAAAACAATATAGCTTCCTCCTCTATTTCCCAATAAGGACCTTGCCATAATGTCAGTCTCCAGGCTAAACACCATGGCTTTCAATCTTTCCTGGGTCTGTGTAATAACTGGTTGTATTTTTGCTTCTTTAACAGAAGCATCTAATATCTCTGATGTGTATCCCCTTCTGTGGAAAGAAAGTCCTGGTCAGTTCAGTGACTACAAGACAGAAAATGGAAAGTACATCATTAACTTCTGGCATTATCCCAATAGACTGGGGTCATATAAAATCCTCCTGAACAAGACGGCCAAGAATTTTGCAAAATTTTCACCAGAAAATGAACAAAATATTTTATGGGGACTGCCTGTACATCATGGATGGCACTATCATACAGGTAAGAAAGTCTCTTTTTCATCACAATGACCCTTTAAGTGTGAATTGATTAGGAAGTAGTACATGCACATTTAGCATCATGTTTTTGAAAATTGATTTTTTTCTCTCACTTTCCTATGACTTTTCCAGCATTTGCATAATATCTTGCTTAATTTCTAGCAAGTATTTATAGAATACCTCTTGCCTGCCTAGTTCTAAGCACTGAAGATTACATACAGGAACAAAACAGTTAAGGTAGGAAGAGACTGTAGGTCTGATCTGTGATGACATTCTAAACTAGCATTAAAACCAAGCTTGTGAGGGAATCTCTGGACATCCAATATAATTTCCATTTAAACATAAAGTCCACTGGAAACAATAACCAATTCCCCCAAGGGTGCACACATCTATTCCTAGGAAAGTTTTCAGCCCTGGGTCCAGTAATGAGTGAATAGTGAAGTAGAATATTGGATACGGTACTTTCAAAATTTCATTTTCATTTTAGAATACAATATATGAGATTCTGCTCTTTCTTAAGTGGCTAATTTCACTTAGTATTTAATTGAGCTGAACTCTGTAATAGGACTGGAGAAAACCAAAACAGCAATACAGGTTATAAAATTAGCCCATAAAAGTATTTCACCAACAGTATGTTAAGTCTCAAAGATGAGATAAGGACTGTAAATACAAGAGTGGCTCAGGAAGGAGAGTGACAACTATGGGCTGAGAATATCATGGGAAGAAAGTAATGCCCAAGAGCTTGATGGAGACATTGTTAGAAAAAAGTGCTGGAATACAAATTACAAAGATGGCAATAATAGCAGGTTGAACCAGAAGACTACCAGATTGGCAGGAGAACTGGAATGTGAAAGAGTAGTGGGTGGTAAATTTAAGAAGATTGATGAGGGCCGGTTAAAGAGTCTTTAAAGTCAGACTGAGCAGTTTTAATTGGGCTCTTAAGCATATGATTTAGCTTAGTAATAAGCACCTAATGCTTACAAAATACTTAAACACTTTAAGTGCCTCTGAGTTGCTTAGCAGAGGTTTTAAAAAATATATAGTTTTATTTATATACAATAAACATACATTAAATGGCACATTTAAAAATGCATTTTTGGGGAAGTTTGATATATATCCATAGCCTTGAACCCATCAACACAGATAGTGGACATATAAGTCATTCTAAAAATTTTCTTTTCCCCTTTGTATTCTCACCTTCAAGAACTTCCCTAGTCTGGTCTCTCCCAGCCCTCCCACTGCTCTAACTTCTCATGCCCCTCACTCCTCAACTTCACTGGTAACCACTGATCTGCTTTTTATCACTGCAGTTTAGACAGCATTATCTAGAATTTCCATTGCTCTTTTTTTAGTCTGTTTTATTTCAGTTGTCATGATTATTTTGAGATTCATCTGTCTAGTTGCGTATGTCAGTATTTTTCATTTTTATTGGTTAGCCAAAATTTTAATTAGAATAATGTTTGAATTGGGAAGAGAATACTGGGAGTCTGAAGCAGGATAAGGCAGTGACACCAAAGAGAAAAATAGATGAAAAAAGGGAAGACTATGGCAAGCATGCAAGAAATTGGTAGTAGGATATCATTGCTTGCCGTCGAAGCACTCACAGCATGGTTAAGAAGGCATTAAGGAGGGCACCTGATGTGATGAGCGCTGGGTGTTACATGCAACTAATGAATTGTTGAACATTGTGTCATAAACTAATGATGCATTATATGTTGGCTCATGGAATTTAAATTAAAAAAAAAGAAAAAGAAAAAAAAAGGAGAGTTAGAAATGATATAGCCATAAGACAAAAAAGAGCTGAAGCATTAGGTACTAGGATAAAGTGAATGTTGTGAGTTAGGGTAATCTGGGAATAGAGTAAGATTTGAAAGAAAGAACCTTGAAGAGCTTTAAAAAAAAAAAAAAAGCAATCCATGAAGAAAGAAATAGAATGAACTAAAGGACAGAGTTTAGAGTTAGCGTGGTATATGTGAGAAAAAGACAAAAAGAGAGGGAAATATTGGGAGGATGGGATATACATAATGTATGCTACAGAAGTAATATAATTGAAAAAAAAAATCCAGTAAATTTACAGCAAAAAATAGATTTGAATAGTAACAAATATAACATTAATTTTACTCTGGAAAAATGGGGATGACAGAAAACAGTTTTAGTCAAGTTTATTGAGAATGATGTATTTTTTTGCCATGGGAAGACAAAGAAAAAAGTCCCTCAGAAGATAAAACAGCAGTAAGCAGGCCCAGCTTAACTGTAAAGAAGGCGAGAGTGCTGAAGATGTCAAGAACAGTAGTGAAACTCTGAACAGGAAATTCAGGGTGCAATCTTCCTTCACTGTCAAGGTCAAGGGCTCAGTCCCAGGCATGTGCAGTTGGAGGTGATGTGGAGTCCCTAATTAAGGAGGACTGTGGAGGAGAAGACAGAGAAGTTAACAACGTAAGGAAATCCTTAGATTACCATCATGGGCAAACATCCTCAAAGATGGAGTGGTTTAAAAAGGACAGAGAGTCTTAGAAACAGATTTCAAAACTCCCAGATGAGGCAAAACCCAAGAACCAGGAGAGGTAGGTTTCACATATTTGGATATTATTCCAGTTCAGAAGAGGAATAACAATTTTGAGAAATTTCCATGCATTAACAGAAATTACCCAGGGTTTTCCTCTTGCCCACTGAAGGGTAAGCAGGTCAAGAAGAGCCAAATGAGAAACCAGATGAGAAAGTAAAAGAGAAACAAAGCAGGTACATGGGAAACAGAACCAGTGAAAAGAAAAGATCTAGTGAACACAGGGGAGGAACAAGAAAGAAGAATAAGTGAACATTGCAGGAAAAGAGCACTGGGAGAAAAGAAGGGGAGGTACCAAGTAGCTGGGCAAAAGAGAAGCTGGAGTGGCAAATGAAGAGCCAAAACAGTGTGAGGGTGAAGCCAGAGATAACAGAAGGTTAGCAGGAGAAAAGAGAATAAGCCAGTATGAAAATGGTGGAAACAGGGAAAGAGACAGGCTTAAAGTCAGAGATAGTTGAAGGGAGTTGCAAGGAGTGTATGCAGAAGGTACACAAACTCAAGCATGAATGCAACAGAGTGGGATGTTTTGAAAGTAGGAGATGAGAGAGAATGACAAAGAGAAAAGAGATAAAAATACAATAATGGCTAATGTTTATGGAAGCACATATTCTCTGAGCTGAGCATTTTTTGTGCCTTTCATTTAATAACCCCAAACCTCTATGAAGTCATTATTGCTAGTTTCTCAGTAAGTACATGAGAAAACTGAGGCTTGCAGAAGTTATTTATTCAGGGTCAACAAGTAGGTAGGTAAGCAATGAAAAAAGATTTGATTTTAAGCAAATAGAGCCTGGATTTTGCTTATTATACATGAATAGTCACTCCCTAATATTGAAGATAAAGAGTAGTTAGTAAATGTAAGACACAGATGCAGAGGCTAAAAAAAATAGGGCCTATGAGAGAGAATAGACGTCAAGGAAAAGGAAAAAATATGAATGGCAGATGGAAAGCAGAAAGTCATCAAGCGAAGGAAAGACAGTGATGGGAAGGCTGATACAATTCTTTATTCCTGTAAACATATTATGTCTAGTTACGTATTGTATCTACAACTTAGAAAGGTGCCTAGTAAACTCAACTCTGTGTTTCCTTTCTTTTAGGCAGATTAGCTGATCCTACCCAAAGTACAGACTGTGGCCATAAGTCTGGGGCTCATCTGTGTATCTCTGTGGACAGTTGGTGGGCTGGTGAGTTCAATGTGACAGTCAAATCTCAGATTGATGACCTTTCTACAAAAAATCAATTTAACCTAGGATCCCAATTAAAGAAACAAAAACCAAAACCAGAATCATTGCAAAAAACATCTGTTTGACCCAAATCTGGATGTTCTGAAAATGAGTCTTGAGTTAATTATTTTTTTAAATGTACCAATTAGTTTATCCAATTATAAAAATATCAATTAGGGAAAATCAGCAAAACTTGATTTAAATACATAAGACAGAAATAAGAATTTGTTATGTTATCAGATAAAACCTGTTAATAAGAGAAATATCTAGATTAAATATTAGAATATTATAAAGCTACAACAGATTTTCAGATTTAAAATAAAAACTTAGAGAAGTATAGAATTCTGCTACTAATTTTTTTGTTTCAAGTTTTTATTTAAACTCTAGTTAGTTAATTCTGTTACTAATTTCTAAATTTTTCACTTACTATGCCTTAGAATTTAATTAATATTTTTAAATTCCAGCACAATTATTATCTGTGATTTAAAATAATAAATCTACAAGATATATCAATTTTGCTTTATGAAAATATGGCTTTTAGGAGAAGCATATTCAAATTGCATAAAACACTAGGGGAAATTTCTGATAAAATTTCCAAAGTTCCCAAAATTACCACTTAAGTTTTACAACATTTCTAGATCTTTAGGCTTACTTTTATGATAGATTCCTTTACTTTGAAAAAGACTCTTTTGTGTGTTAACAATATTAATAACTTTTTTTTATACAGACCTTAATTATTATGTCTCTGCAATGCCCTTCCTTGCTGCAGTTGATTCTGGCATAATGGGGATATCATCAGACAAGGTCACCTTTCTGCCACCATGGAAGGATCAGATGAATTTTTGTTACAATGTTTCTAACTGCCATTCATCATTTCCAGAAGCAATGAAAAAGTGGAATGAATTTTACTAGGGTTTTTTTTAGTGTTTTTTTTTTTTTAAATCTTATTTATTTATTTTGACAGAGAGATAGAGAGCACAAGTAGGAAGAGCACCAGAGAGAGGGAGAGGGAGAAGCAGGGTCTCCATAGAGCAGAGAGCCCAAAACAGGGCTTGATCCCATGACCCTGGAATCATAACCTGAGAGAAAGGCAGACACTTAACTGACTGAGTCTCCCAGGTGACCCTAGTGTTTTAATTATACCCTTCAAGGGTAGCCAGATAATTTTTGAATAGCACTTAATGTAGCTTTTTAAAAAAAATACATTAAACAATTGTTCTTAATGAAAAATTTGCTAATATGAAATTATTGTGGTTACAACAGTATTAGTATGAGTGGATTGCTGCATGACATCATACCTCATTAACATCCTCATTACCAATACTGTATCAAGGTCATGCTATCTACTATTCTCATACTAAATAAATTATATACACACATGTGAGCCCAGAGAAATTATGACTTAACAGTGCATGAAGTGTCCTAGCTCATGATAATTTCAGGTCAACTGAGCAGTAACTGGTCTAGAAATACAATTGTGTAATAGGTTTAGTGAATTTGATCAGCTTATTTCAACTGTCTTGACAAAAAAAATCACATATGAGTTGACTGAATTAGCATTTTTAACAGTCAGAATCGAATATTGATGTCCAAAGTAATGTGCCATGAGTGAAAGAGTACATGACTAAAGATGGGTTTCCCTTTAGTTCTCTTCAGTTCCCTTTAGTTTTATTCATTAAATTGAGTATGATTAGATAAAACACTCTTACACTTGACACTTGGTGGGAAGTTCATTGCATGGTAAGAGAAAACCAAATGCGTAAAATACTAAAGATGTGGTTCTGGGCAGTGTGAAATCCTGAACATTTCTAAAAACACATGGTTTATTCCTTTCGTATGGATTCAGTATCACTAGTAATTAAAATGCTTGATATTAATGTCTTTAGGGAGTGTTCAGCATTAAATCTTTCATACTTGAACTCTTAGGAAAAAAAATGTTTTCCCCTTACTTAGAATGTTAAAAAATTATATTTGTACATAGAATTGATTTTCGAGAAGACAGATTGTTATAATTGCCTGAATATCAGTAACATTTTTTGTCTTTGACAGCATGTAAAGTCACATTCTAGTAGCTTTGATGACCTGTTGGAGTACTTATGGGCTGCACATGTCTCATCTTTAGAGGTTGCTCGTAAAAATTTTCAAAATAGGTAAGAATGGATCTGAAGTTATTTTGTTTGGGAGCACCTGAGGGGCTCAGTTGGTTAAGCATCTGACTCTTGATTTCTGGTCAAGTCATGATCTCAGGGTCATGAGATTGAGCCTCATGTTGGGCCCCACACTGAGCATGGAGCCTGCTTGAGATTCTATCTCTGTCTCCCTCAGCCTCTCCCTGCCTGCTCACACTCTCTCTCTCTAAAAAAGGAAAGAAAAGAAAAGAAAAGAAAAGAAAAGAAAAGAAAGAAAAACAAAAATAAGAAAGGAAAAGAATGTTATTTTAATATGGTAACAATCTTTCCATCTTACACTATCTTTTTCATCAAAGGCTTTTTCAGTTTACCTATTCACCAATATGTCAAACATGAGGACATATTATGATAAAGAGAAAAGTGATGGGAAAATGTTTTATTGGATAAAGTTCAAAACCATGTTACAAGCAGCAGGGGAATATATGAAGAAAAGTATGCTTGTACCACAAAACAGCAATAAAACAAAATGAATTCAGAAGTACAAGATTTTTTTTTAAGGTTGTTTTAACACAAACTGATGTCTGTAAACAAAAAGGATGTGATGGCAAACAAATATAGGATCTCTGCCTCACTTTGATAAGAAAATATAGCTTAGTTAGCATGTATTTGTAGGGGAGTATCCAAGAAGGATCTTGGTTACCATACCAGATGGCTAAAATGTCCCCATTTTATAGCAAATGAGATTGAATAAGACAGCATGACTTGGTATGGAAGTGAATGACACTGTATTGGGGATGGTATCTGCCACCCAGAGTGAGACATGCTGTAGAAGAAACTAAAGAATGGGTGACTTGTTTAAAGTACACAACAAATATAGGCACTCATGTATGAGGACTTCTTGTTGACCAAGTACTGTTACCTTTCCCATTGACCACAAATCCCATGAAGTTAAACAAATCACAGAATCAGGAAACTTACATTGCTTCAGATATTTTATTTCTTAATAGTGCTTCAAAGGCTGATTTTTATGTTGGTCAACAGAAGAGCTCATCCTCTTGGCATGTCTGTGGGCTGAATTAGGATTGTAGCCTTCCTAGTATCTTTTTGCCATGACTCAATGGCTTGATTCTGATCACTGCCAAGGAGAGGGAAGATTATTAGCCAGTGAAATAAACAGGAGTTGTCAACATCATAATTGGAATTGAGATCAGGTCATTGTATAGAAAGTAGTTTATAAAATATTATTTTTTGTATACTTCCCCAAAGACACACAAAACTAAATTCCTCTGGGAAATAGCATTTTTCATAGCAACTCTCAAAGCATGAGATCAGCTTTCTGTATCTGAAATAAAACAAGCAGTATTTATTACAATTCTAGGAAGGGAAAGTTATATTGTCATGCATGGAATCGCTAAGCAGAGCACTCTTCTCATCTTTAGATGGGTTATTAGGAGATGCAGAGTTCAGAGACTGGTAGATTTTTAGCCATTTAAGTGGGTTGAGTCATCAGTATAAGAGGTCTACTCAGGTGAGACAGTTGTCAATTGGCATTAGAGATATATTTATGTAAGGAGTCCATTCCTGACTGGCTGAATTTCAGATATGAGGGCATCTCACATATTAGATGCTTGCCAACACTGGTCACTGAAGCAAGTTTTTGTTGAGATGATTCAAGGAAGTCTAAAAATGGTTTTGTGGCTTCTTGTTACTATGTCTACGGAGAATTTGTCTTTTTCTAGGACCCAAAAACATGAGCAAAACTGAGGGCATACCCAGGCAAGAGCTGAGAGGACCCCAATGTCTCACCTCCGACCACCATGAGGGCCTGGACAAATAGGAAGTAAAGGCTTGGGCAGAGTTGTAAAAGGCCTTAGCACTGACGGCGTACCCCAACACATACACAGAGCTCCTCAGCAAAGGGTGGAATACTTGAGTTCAGGGAATTTAAGAAAATCTTTAACCTAATCATTAGTGGACCATTAAGGTTCTGAACAGGGACTTCTGTGATGACTCACTACAGAGAACATAGAGTGAATAACAGAATTTTTCTAGGCAAGTCAATAAACAAATAATGACAAGAAAACCAAACAACAGCAAACCCTGGTAAAGGTGGGAATCTGATTTTTAGAGTTTCCACTTTATAGTGTCTGAACTATTCAGTGTTCAAAAAAAAAAAAAAAAGAGAGAGAGAGATGTGCAAAGCATGGGGAAAATAGTGCATACATGCACCGTTCCCCACCACATACACACACTTACACAGAGATAATTAGTCATTAGGAATTGTTCCTCTGAGTTCAGATGATGGACAAAATTTTTGAATCACTTCTTATGAGCATGTGTAAAAAAATATAAAAGAAACTGTGTCTAAAGAATTTAAGGAAAGTGTGAATTGACATCAATGTTTTACTAAGTAGAAATTATGAATAAAGAGGTAGAATTTATAGAAAAAATCGAAATTCTGCAGTTGAAAATTATAATAGCAAAAATGAAAAATTCACTTGAGGAATTCAAAAGCAGGCTTAAGCTGGCAAGAGAAAAAATCCATAAACTTGAATATAGGTAAATTGAAATTACCCAGTGTAAGGAACAAAAAGAAAAAAGGATGAAGAAAAATAAAGAGAGCTTCACAGACCTGCAGGAGAGTGGAAATGGAACTGTATTGCAGCAAAATTTATGTAAATGGTTAGAATATGTTACTATTAATATGAACTACATTGTTTTAAGATAGATAATAATTGTAATCTCACCAGCAAAGAGGAAGAGTTAAGGTAATTAATTAAAATGTAGATATATTAGAGAAAGTTGATAGAAAAAAAAGCATGGGGAAAAACATTTATACTGGAAAATATCCATTTAGCACAAAAGAAGGCAGTAATGAAGAAAAAGAGGACAAAGACATAAAACATAAGAACTGAAACAAATTGGCAATATTACTTGGATAGCAAAATGAAAGACATTACACAAAAAATACATGCCAACATTTCTTGTGAATATAGTAGACACAAGAATCCTCAATGTAATGCTAGTAAACAGAATCCAGCCATGAATAAAAATAATAAACCATGGCCATATAGGATTTATTCTAAGAATACTAATTTGGTTTAGTATCTGATAACCAAATATTACACCATATTAATAGAATAAGGGACACAAATCACAAAATTATCACAATAGATGTAGAAAAAGCATTTGACAACACTCTTTTATGATAAAAAAAATTTAAAAAAAGACTAGTAATAGAAGAAAAGTTTCTCAGCTTGTTAAAGGGCCTCTAGAAAAACCTACAGTTAACTTCATATTGTGAAAGACTAAATGCTTTCTCCCTGAAGTGAGAAACAAGACAAGGTTGCCCATTCTTACATCTATTCAAGATTTCACTGGAGGTTTGAGCCAAGAAAATTAGGCAGTAAAAAGAAATGAAAGTAATTTAGATAGAAAGAGAAGAAATAATACTTTCTCTCTAAGAAATCTACTAGAAATATTATAATTAATATATGAGGTCTTCAAACTAGCTGGATACAAGGTCAACATCCAAAAATTAATTGTATTTCTATGTACTAGCATAAAAAAAAATCCCAAAATGAAACTAAGAAAACAAATGCATTTACAACATTGTCAGGAAAAATAAAATATATAGAAATCAAGTTAGCACAAGAACTATAGAACTTGGATACACTGAAAAATATAAGGTATTTTTGAAAGAAGTGAAAGAACTATTTAAAGGAAAATCTTCTTGTGTTCACAGATTGGAAGACTTAATATTGTTTAAATGGCAACTAAACTTAATCACAGATTCAGTGCAATCTCTGTTAATCTCTTACTACAAAAGTACAGTAATCAAGACAGACTGTTGATCATGATAATAGATATATGGATCAATAGAATAGAATTGGGGTCCAGAAACAAAAGCTGTTTTCAACAATAGTGTAAGACAACTTGATGGGTAAAGAATAATTTTTTCAACAAATGGTGCTGGGGGAACTGGCAATCAACATACAATGAAAGAAGTTTGTCTCCTAAAACAACAGAATTGACTCAAAATGAATTATAGACCTAAATGTAAGAGCTAAGCCTATAGACTTCAGTCTAAAGCTTTTGGTCTTTGGGTTAGTCATTTTCTTCTAAGATGAGACACTAAAAGCACATGGGACAAAAGATAAAAATAGATAAAATACATTTCTTAAAAGCTTAATAGTTTTGGTGCTGTGAATGATACCATCAAGAAAATGAAAGACAATATACAGAATGGGAAAAAAATATTTGCAAATCATATATCTGTAAGAGTTTTACATCTGAAATATATTTTAAATATTTCATAATTCAATTTTAAAAGACAAATAACCCAATTTTTAAAAATGGGAAATTGATTTGAGGAGGTATTTCTCCAGTAAGTATATACAGAGATGTTAAAAATCATTAGGCACTAGGGAAATAAAATTCAAAACCATAAGATACCACTTTACAAACACTATATTAGCTGAAATCTAAAAGATAAATAATAACAAGTGTGAGAAGGTGTAGAGTATTTAGAATTGCTTGTGGGTATGGAAAATGGTGCAACCACTTTGGAAACTAGTTAAATAATTCCTCAAAATATTAACTGAGTGTTATTTATGACTCAGCAATTCCACTCTGAGGCAAATATTGGAGAGAACTGAAAATCTTATGTCTTCATCTGTTTTTCATGTCCTGTTGGCTCTCCCACAAACTACACAATGTCTTGGTGTGCTGTTATTAAAATTGTGTGACCCTTAACTTAATATCCTTATGTATTCATATTTTCTCCTTCTTAAATTTGAGAGTTGGCTGCAATTTGATAAGAGCATGGACAACCAACCAATTTTTCTATAATCAAGGACAGTTGGTTATTTCATCCTCTATACTCCCATAGCTCTGTATGAACCATGTATATACAGGTACGTTTTTTTCACAGATAGTAACTGGGGGATATGTTCCAGTTACTTTCTGAATCCATAATACCTAGACCCTGATGTATGTATTACTTAGAGTAATTCCAGGGGGAATGTAACAAACCAT